TGCCAATGTTTCCTTTGTGTTGATGTCGAAAATCTTCCATGCGTTGTAATGTTTTTCGATGCCCAGATGTAGTCCCCACTGTGCGCGTTGGGAGAATCGACCGGCGCGTGCAGCTGGGGGTCGGTACTGTACCATGCAGCCGAAAACTCGCAACATTTTTGTGCTGCCCAGTTTTCCTGTCCACAGCAGATGCGGTGATGCGTTGTTTGGGAGTGATGATGACGAGAGCAAGTTGTGCAGCATCACGGCGTGGTCCATTGCTTCGGGCCACTGGTGGTTGGGTAGCCGCATGCCACGTAGCAGCTTGCGCATGGTGTTCTGAAGGGTCCTGTTCATTCTTTCTGCTACACCCTGCTGTTGATGGGCGTAGGGAAGGGAGATGAGGCGCTTGATTCCTCGTTCTGCCAGGTAGTCTTTGAACTGCTGTGACGTATATTCCCCTGCTCCGTCTGACTGGAAGCTCTTTAGCTTTACGCCTGATTCTCGTTCTGCTACTAGAAGCCATGCAACGAAGGCTTCGAAAGCCATGTCGCGACTCGGAAGGTTGAGATGCCAGACGTATCGCGTGGCGGCGTCGATGAAGGTGATAACGTAGTTATACGCTCCTTGACCGGGTTCGGAATTGTACAGTATATCGCTGTAGACCTTCTCCAAAGGTGCGTACGCCGGTGCACTTGGGTTGTGGTGAGAGACGAAGGGCTGATGCGGTAAGTCAGCTTCTGGGCAGGTGAAGCAAGTTCCTCGAACTCGTCGAAGTTCTCAGCCGTCGGGTAAGAGTAGTGAGTCTTTATCAAGAACGCCTGCTCGTATCGTGTTGTTTAATGTCGTGTTGCTCGGGTGTCCCATTCGTTTATGCCAGAGGTCTTCGTCAGCGCGATGTCCGGGTGAGCGTCGGTATAAGTCGGAGTTGGAGTAGAAGCCTGCGGTGTAGTTTGCGCTTCGATGGACTTCTCGTAGAGTTGGATTCAGCTGCTGCGCAGGAGTCGGTGGTGTGTTGTCGACGAAGACCGGTGCCGTTGAAGGGCCAGCGATTGGTGCCGATGTTGTCTCTGCTGCTGCTCGATGTTGTCTCTGCTGCTGCCGATGTTGTCTCTGCTGCTGCCGATGTTGTCTCTGCTGCTGCCGATATTGTCTCTGCTGCTGCCGATGTTGTCTCTGCTGCTGCCGATTGAATTGTTGCTAATGCTCTCGTTCTTTCTGTTTCAGGTATGGTGTGTGAATACCAGAAGCCGCCCGGACTGAAGTCGGGATCAAGATCCGGGGGATGTGTCCAGGAAGTGAAGGTCACAATTCCGTCGCTATCGGCGGTGCCAAGATCTGGAACGAAGTCGAGGACGAAGACGTTGTTCTTCAACACTGCCTTTCCGATATAGAGTCCGCCTTTCCCGTGATACAACTTGAACTCCTGGGTGGTGCTGTCTGCTTTGAGATGAATGCCTTTCGCCATCAGCTGGCTGACACTCAGTAAGTTGTAGCCGAGTCCCTCCGCGATTAAGACCTTTGACAACTGTAGTATCACGTTTGTTTCTCTTGACTGAAGTTGAACAACTCCTTGCCGTCGTGTGCGCAGATTTTGATGGTTGGCGACGGTGATGACGACTTCGCGCTGGAGTTGATGTTCGCGTTGAACGAATTGACCCGAGGAGCACATATGCTGTCCGCAGCAACTGTCCAAGAACCAAGTGTCTTTCCCGGACGGCTCGCTCTGGGCGATGGTTGCGTATGTCGGGTTCGGCTCCAGTGTCTCGCGGCGAGGAGTGCTTTCGTCAAGTTGTTGTTCTGGTGAGTAATGCGGTGGTGATTCAGTGATGCAGGAGTCTGACAATCTTGCCATGCAGCTCACGATGTTTCTTGCTCCTTGCGCAGGTTGCGTTGTTGTCGATGTTCCTTGAGCTTGAGAAGTGGGATGGGCTTGTGTTGAGGCGACTTGACTGCTTGAAGGCCGAAGTTGTCGTTGCGGTGGTGTTGACTGTCGCAGACTTGGGCAGTGTGTACGGGGATGTCCAGACGTCTTGCAGAGATGACAGAACGGCGGTACGTGCTGCTGTTGTTGTTGTTTGTTTTGTCGGTTGGAGTTCTTGAAGCGCCGTTGGGTGTGGAATGCGAATTCTGGTACTGATGCCTTTTTCCTGAGTCGTTCCTCGTGCAGGTCCATGTCTTGTTGTTCGGCGTGAATTTCGGCGCAGAGTGCCGCTTCGGAGATCTTCCCGTGAGCTCGAAGTATAGCGCGGGTGGAGCGCCAATGAAGACCAAGACCAGTGATGACAACTGTGACGAAGGCTTCTTCAGATATCGATCCTCCGCATCGAAGAAGTTTGTCGCGCAACTCGCGGCAGCGGCTGATATATGCCATTCCCTTTTCGCCGGGTTTCATCTCCACTGTTGTTAGCTGTGCCATTAACCGACTCTGATTGACGCTGTCTGTTGCTTGATACAGGTTCTTCAAACGGTTGTACGCGAGCTCGGCGGAGTTGCCGTATCCTCGATAAGAGCGGATATTCTGCTGCTGGTTTGGAGTTAGATTCCTCAGCAGGATCGTGTATGCCATCATTGACTGATACGTGTACTGCTGTTTGTCGTATTGCGTTCCGTGTGTTGGGTATGGCAGGGACCTGTCGAAGAATCCGAGAATCTGCGCGCCTTCCATCATCAGCTCAAATTCGAATGACCAGGTATAGAAGTCCTTCCCGTCGAAAGGTGTTGATGTCTGGAGTTTCAAAACGTGCGCGAACTGTGATTGAACCTGAAGTGCATCCAGTGTTTTCTCCTGTCCAGGTTGAGGCTGCTGGTGTGGCATGAAGCTGATTGAGCCACGTTGAGGCTCGTACGGAGCGAAGGTGGGTTGCTGCTGGTTTCCGCGCGCATAGGATGAACCATCAAGGCTCATGGGTGTGACGTCGTTGTTGTTGTTGCTGATGTTTGACTGCGCAGGTGCCGTTTGCTGATGCTGCTCGTAGAAGGACATGAAGGAGAAAAATTTATCCATCATACTTGGGTCGAAACCTGTCGCTTGGTTTACGGGAGTCTAAGTAGACTCAGCTGCTGGTCTTGTTGCTGTGCCTTCCTCTGTCTGTAGGCCAGAGGCAGGAGGTGGAGTAGGAGTAGTGCCAGGAGAACCGTTAGAGGAGCTTCTCTCCTTCTGCGTTGCCATGCCTTCTGATGTTGTGGGTAACTTGGAAGCAGTTGAGTTTGCCCTGATAGCTCTCATACCATGTTGGGCTGAGAAAAAGCCCTTAAGATCTTTGCAGGGCTAAACTCTGGGTAGGAATGTTGTAGTTGCGGAAGCGTTTTGATAAGAAGTATTGAACCACCTTGCGCTGGTATGTGAGGGCAAAGTAGATTAATTAAAACAAGGAGATACAAGGTTTTATAAGAGTACAAGGAATATGAAGAGATACAGCTAATAACTGTTTTACTGTTGCTGTTGCGGTTCGATACAGTTACGACTCGGGCAACTGTTCTGTATCGAGTCAGTTGTTTGTCCTTGCTGTCGCACTGTATTGTTAAGTCAAAGGTCGCTGACCATTGACCTTCACGTAACCTCCAGCGGTTACTTCAGTCGTCAACCTCCGATGGTTGAATCGCCGATGCTTCGTTTGTGCTTCGCTTCGTTTACGACTTGATGTTTCGACACAGCAGAAGCGCTTAAATCACTTGTTTCCAACAAATTGCTTATATTGTCCCATGGGCTTATAGTTCTTAGCATAATATAAGTGCAACCTGTATAGAATATGCTTTTAGGCTAAACCTCCAATTGTGGATTCTCATAACTTTGCTTTTGTTCAAAAGTGTAGACTGGCCCTTTCAGTTTGAGAGGGTATAGGTCTCAGTTCCACTGGCATCACTATTTGGCGACAGTCGGTCAGACTGACAAAACAACCACCGACCAGTGAAGAGCAGCAGGTATCCGTGCCATCTCCTTATTCATGCTGCTCTGCTGGCAGATAGCGCGGCGCTTGCACGAAGCGCGATTTTTTCGATTGGATGATGTCGGTGGTAACCACCTTTCGCGCCCACTCGTTGCGCCTGCAGTCTAATTCTGCTGCCAATTTCCTCGCGCTTCGATGTGATGTAACGCGGTCCGATGTATGCAGCCAGTTTCTTCAAAGTTCAAACCCAGACATCCAAGCACATTCGTGTGGAGCGAGGGATGTTGGGGGAGGGTGGAGCGAGTGAAGCTCATGAAGCTTGTGACGGACCATGAGAAAAGGATGGACGAAGAAACTGAAGTGACCCATGAGCACAGCTGGTTTCAACTTCACATGAGCACATGCGCTGGCGTCTTTATCTTTCTCTCCATCACCACGCCACGCCATCCCCCATCTTGTCGCTGACGCCACTGTCTGCGCGCGTAGATTACCCCGCAGCACGACACAAGCTCGCAGCTGTTGCAGCTGTGCGCTGACATGATGTATCCGACGCAACGCCTGGTCAAGAGCCCCCGTGTTGCTCACTCGCCTGCGTCGCTTCTGAAACGCACCTGGCCTGATGAAGCCGTGCTTGCAGGAGTGATACAAAACCTCCCACACGCCACGAGAATCCCGAGGGCGCCGCAGCGCGCATGGATCAGCCTCGGGCAGAGCCAGGACTGACTGTTGACGGAGGGGGCCTTAGTAGCGTTCCTATAGGGCCATCGATATCGTTCGTTTCTTGCCTGCCCCGTAATCGACCCACACAGATGCGTTCTAGTCATACGGCACTCACCGCACGTGGATGGACACATGTATATAGCGCTCAGGCCTTTTGCCACTCGCTCCTCGATATTACCTGCGGTTCTAGGGACGTGCACCCATCACCAGCGCCGTCACGTTGAGCGAGCGAGCTTCGGAGATAATCGCTTTGGTCAGACCTCACGGTGGCACAGAGAGCCTTCACGTTTCGCCCAGTCTGCTCGGATAGCTTTCCCTATCCGTGTGTATTGTAAGAGCCTGCGCTCCCGCTAGACGTCACCGAGGCTGCTATCACGAGACAGCTTCGTAGAAACTGCGCGTGTTGCCCGCATGAAGGTATTTCCTCGTAACGGCCTTTCGTGACCCACCTAAACACCTCTTTCGCACTCCTTAAGAATCGTTAGTGCCTCTGGCGTTCTCAGGCATTTCGCAGATCACGAATCCGTTTTCCAGACGCGGCCAAGGCAGGACGCACTGGCCCCTGCGCCGTACGAAGGAAAATCCTTAATCCACTCCAGTCCGCAAGAAGAGCAGCAGCTACTGCAGCAGCGACTGCTTGACCGTCCCACTCCCCCCAGGATGTCTCGACCAGCGTCTCCTCGATCCACCCCCACGCACCGCACCCGTGCTTGCCGTGCTGCTGCTGTTGCTCGTCTCAAACACGCAAATCTCACTCCCATGGCTGCCCGCGGCGCATCCACGGCCGCCGTTGCTGCTGGTGGCGACGGCTGGTGGCGGAGGGCACAACTACGGCGACGCGCTCGCCCTGAGCATCCTGTTCTTCGAGCAGCAGCGCTCCGGGAAGCTGCCGGCAAATCAGCGAGCCAAATGGCGCGGGGATTCCGGACTGAATGACGGCAAGGACGTTGGGGTGAGTGCTAGTCCGCTAGAGAGGGGATGGTGGCTCTTCTCATTCTTACTCTCTCTTTCTCCCTCTCGCTCCCTCGCACTCCATCTGTCATCTGTCTAAATTTAACGCCCCACCGTCCCCACTGCACACCATCCCCGCCGTCCCCAGGTAAACCTGTCCAAGGGCTACTACGACAGCGGCGACAACGTCAAGTACGGGCTGCCCATGGCGTTCACGGTCGCGACGCTGGCGTGGGGAGTGGTGGAGTACGGTAGCCAGCTGGAGGAGCAGGGGCAGCTGCAGTACGCGCTCGACGCCGTCCGGTGGGGCGCGGACTACTTCGTCAGCGCGCACCCCGAGCCCAACGTGCTGTACGCGCAGGTGCGCGGAGGGGGGGGGGGGGAAGGGGGAGGGGGAGGGGGAGGGGGATGGGGAGGGTAACGGGGAGATGGGGAGGAGGAAGGGGGATTGGGGAGCTCGAACGCGCGGGGTGCGAAGCTAGGGGAGGGGGAGAAGGAGGGGCAGAGGGGGAGTCTGGATCCCGCGAGGGTAAGGGCGTGGGGAGTGGTGGAGTATCGCAAAGAAGTTGCGCACTCTCATTCTGTTGCGTCTGATTGTCTGACCAAACCAAGGGGTCTGTTGCACACGCGCATTCTCCCTCATTCCCTCTCCTTCCTCCTCTCCCTTCCCCCTCTTCGTGCCTTTCCTCTTTCCCCTTCCCCGTTCCCCTTCCCCGTTCTCCTTCCCCCTTCCGCTTCCCCCTCCCCCTTTCCCCCGTTTCCCTGTCCCCGCGCAGGTGGGCGACGGCGTGTCGGACCACGCGTGCTGGCAGCGGCCCGAGGAGATGACCACGCCGCGCACCGCGTACCGCCTCGACGCCGCCAATCCCGGCACGGAGGTCGCGCGGAGGCCGCCGCCGCCCTCGCCGCCGCGAGCCTCGCGTTTGTCGCGAGCGACAGGGCGTACTCGACGACGCTGCTGCGACACGCGCGCGAGGTGAGGAGGGAGCGTGTGTGTTGCTGGAGTGACTCGTATCACTGACGAGTTACCGACTTGAATGTGCTTGCTCGTCGTGACATTACTTCCCTTCCCATAACTCCTCCCTCCTTCCCTTCCCTTCCCCACCCTCTCCCCCCATCGTCATCCCTCGCTCACACCTTTTAAATCTGTCTCACCCCTGGATGGGCATTTGCCACCCGAGAGTCCTCAGAAATCGTCCAGCCTACGAATCGTCTCTACAGCCACCCTTTCCTGTCGTTACTCCTCCACACCCTCGTGTCGTCTCAAACTCGTCTCGTTTCGTCTCATGTCAATGCCTGTGCGTGGTGTGCAGCTGTTCTCATTCGCGGACAAGTACCGGCGCACGTACACGGCCAGCATCCCCTCCGCCGCCACCTACTACCAGTCCTACTCCGGCTATAACGTACGCCCTCCCTCCCTCGCTCCCTTCCTCGCTCCCTCACTCACTCCCTCCCTCTCGATTTCTACGCGCGTCCGTCCCACCCTAGCCTTTTCTCAGACGCCCTAGACTATCGCCTCCGTTACGTTGCACACTGGGTTCCCATCCCTTCATCATTTTCCCTCGCTCACACTCCCCCCATCTCCTCGTCTCGACCCCCCCATCCCACCCCCTTCTCCTCGCTTCCCCGCTCCCTCCGCCCCCGTCACTCCCCCGTTCACACCTTTACCGTCGTCTAGTCCCCCTTCCCTTCTCCTCCCCATTCCTCCGCCCCTGCTCCTTGCAGGACGAGCTGCTGTGGGCGGCGGGGTGGCTGTACCGCGCTACAACCGACCAGCAGTACCTGGGCTACATCCGTGCCAACAAGGACGCGCTCAAGGGCGCCGCTACAACCGCCAAGATGTTCTCCTGGGACGACAAATTCGCCGGCGCGCAGGTCCTGCTCTCGCAGGTGCGCCCTCTCCGCCTCTCCTCCCTCTCCGCCTCTCCTCCCTCTTTCTCTCTCCCACCTCTCGTTCTCTCCTTCCTCTCTTCCTCGCCTCCCCCGCTTCCTCGCCTCCCCCGCTTCCTCGCCTCCCCCGCTTCCTCGCCTCCCCCGCTTCCTCGCCTCCCCCGCTTCCTCGCCTCCCCTCTCCCTCTTCTCCCTCTCTTCCTCGCCTCCCACGCAGTCGTCCGATCACCACCTGTCTCCCATCCCCGCTAGAGCTATTCGCAGCCCACCCCTCAACCTCACCCTCCGTATATCACCCTCCTTCCGCCTTTTCCTCGCCCCCCCCTTCCCCCTCTGCCCCCCAGCTGGCGCTGGTGGCGGGCGACAGCAGTATGCAGGCGTACGCGGATCAGGCGCAGCGGTTCATGTGCAACGTGCTCGCCGGCTCTAAGACGCCCGGTACGTGACGCGCAGGCACGCAGGCACGCAGGGAGAGAGGGAGGGTGGGAGGGGGGGTGAGAGGGTGGGAGGGTGGGAGGGTAGAAGGGAGGTAGTGAAGCGGGCTGCTGGCGGTGCAGCCATGAGGATACCTGCAGTACGTCCCTTTTCCCCGCTCCCTCCCCATCATGCACCCACAGCAACCCTTGACACGCCTCTTCTTTCTTCCCCTTTCCTCCCTCCCTCTCCCTCTCCCTCTCCCTCTCCCTCTCCCTCTCCCTCTCCTTCTCCCTACCCAGGCGGGCTGCTGGTGTTCCTACCGTGGAGCAACCTGCAGTACGTGACATCAGCGTCGCTACTGCTCTCCGTGTATTCCGACTACCTCGACCGCGCCTCTGTGCCCTCCTTCAAGTGCGCCTCCGGCCAGACGCTCACGCCCACGGACCTGCGGCGCATGGCGCAGAAGCAGGTGGACTACATCCTGGGCAGCAACCCCAAGGGCATGAGCTACATGGCGGGGTACGGGGCGTACTACCCCAAGCGCCAGCACCACCGCGCGGCATCCCTGCCTTCCATGAAGAGCCGCCCTGGGTTCATTGCATGCGGCGACGGCTTCTCCTTCTTCCACACCCCGGTGAGCCTTCTTGCACCGCCTGCTTTAGAGATGCTTCACAGCCGGATTTTGTAGGCGCCTCAAAGACCATGACGAGTAGCCCTGGGTTCATTGCGTGCGGGGATGGCTTCTCCTTCTTCCACACCCCGGTGAGTCCCCTGCTTGAGATGTGCCAGAGCCTGGCTTGCCCTGGTTGCACGCGCACAGTGTGGACGTGCCCGATATGGCCTTTGCATTGACTTGACTCATCTCTGACACTCAACGCCTGACGTCAGTCAGACGTGGCCTTGCATCCACAAACTCCTGCTTTCTCCCACAAGGATTCTTTCTTACCCGAGGCACTGGCCGGAGTGCTAGTGGGGGAACCACGACCTCTTCTGACATGTCCTCTGTCGCCCCATTTTCCCCCGTTGTACAGAACCCCAACCAGAACGTGCTGGCAGGAGCACTTGTCGGCGGCCCAGACGCCTCGGACTCGTTCACAGACGACCGCGGCAACTACCAGCAGAACGAGCCCAGCACGTATGTGAACGCGCCGCTGGTGGGCGTGCTGGCGCGCATCGCAGGCGGAACGGAGAAGATCCCTGTCACACACGCTGACCCCGGTCCTATCAGTGCGCCTAAGGGCCCGCGCGCTGGCGGGCAGAGTGGAGGGGGGAGTGGCGGTGGGAAGAGCGGAGGGGGGAGTGGTGGTGGGAAGAGTGGAGGGGGGAGTGGTGGTGGGAAGAGTGGAGGGGGGAGTGGTGGTGGGAAGAGCGGAGGGGGGAGTGGTGGTGGGAAGAGTCCACCGAAGAACACTGGCGGTGAGCTGATTTGCTTTCTTTTCAGCCTCCTCCTCCTGCTACCCCTCTTCCTCCTATTCCTCTTGCTCTTTCTCCTGCTCCTCAACATTCTCCAGACTTGGCACAACGTTTTGCCGGTAAAGGTCGTATGATCGAATGTAATCCCCTCGTGTGGTCTCATTCCCGTCATCTTGCAGTTGTTGCAGTCTCAGTGCTGTTCTCTGTCCCGTGCCCCTGTCATGTGCTAACAATGCAATGCAACCACGTGCAGGCAAGCCGAGCAATGGCAATAACAACGGTGGCAGCAAGGGCAGCAGCGGCGGCGGCAGCAGCAAGGGAGTGCGGCGGCTGGTGGTGCAGACGAAGCAGACGGGTGTGTGGAAGGACAAGAGTGGGCAGGAGGTGGGGCGGTACATGGCCAACATCACCAATGTCAGTGGAGGGCGACTCAACGCTCTCACTCTCAGAGCAAGCAACTTCCATGCCTCCAGGTAGGTCACATGGGGGGTGGGCAGCGCACATGTCTCCTTCCTCACTCTCCCCTCTCTTCCTGCACTCTATTTTCTTGAATCTCTGTATCTTTCTCTGTCTCGCTTGCTCTCCGCAGCTCTGCTTCAACTTCCTTTGATCCTTCTTCCCACTTGCACGTTCGGCATGTTACTCTTGTCTTCCGACTTCTCCTAGTACCGGTACCACCAAGAGGTCTTGTTTGAGTCAGCTCGGCACATGTTCAGCTGTCAGTCGGCCTCCTCTCCGTGCTCAACACAGGACATGACCATCCCATTGCCTCCCGCTCTTCCCACTCTTCCCCATTGGCTCCTCCCTGGTGCAGCTACTGGGGACTAGTCACGTCGGAGAAGCCTCGGGGATTCAGGATAGTGCAGAACGGTGGAAACATGGACAAGGGTGCATCTGTCGCGGTGGTGTACATTCAACCGGGAGGAAAGGCCCGGTTCCGGGGCATCTTCAGGGATTGAAGCGAGGGAAGAACTGGTAACAGTGGGCTGGGCGGACTGGACCATGGGAGGCCTGGTTTGGTGCGCATGACAACTCGAGTGATGCGACTGGAGCGACAGGCACAGGAATGGCATGGACAAGACTAACATAATTAGAGTGGGGAAATACGTAAGTGCATCCACGGTTGTTGTGGGTGGCTGAGAATGGCAAGCTTGGTAGGGTCATGACGGCGAGATTGAGGGAAAATGCGGGTAGTGTATGTTGAAGTATATTTGCATATCCTGTTATAACTGCCTACAGCTTGCTAGTGTATTAGTTAGATATTAGGTTCAACTGCTGGTGGTGTACCCTTTTCCCCTTCCTCTCCTTCCTATTTGTACTCACAACTTCATAATGAAAGCCCTCTTTTGGCCAACCTAAACTCCCTCGATAACCATCTCACTATGCTACTCTCCCTCCAAGCTCCTAATCTCCCAAGTTCTTATCTCAACATGGTCTAAAGAGCTGGGTCCTTCTAAGGACCTCCCTATTATTTTTCATTCGCCATGGCTGCTGCCATGGCGACCATCGCAGCGCCCTTCGAGGCGCTCGTCCGTTGCCTGCCCCGCGCTGCTCGCACCGCGCTACCCGCCCCACGCGCTCGTCGCCCAGTCCCGCGCGCTGACGCGTCGCCCCGCCGCTGGTCGCGGACGCCAGCGCCAGCGCCTCCAACCGTCGCGGACGCCTGCGCGATCGCCAGCGCCGTGCGCCAGCGCCAGCGACTGTCGCAATCGTCAGCGCCAGCGCCTGCGCCGGTCACCTGCGCCAGCACCAGCGACATGCGGCCAGCCCCGGACGCGAGCGCCAGCGCCAGCACCGGCCGTCAGCACCCCCGCCATCGCCACCCCGCTCCCCGCTTCCGCACCTGCCGCCTCTCTTTTCTACGGTGGACATTGCGGGGGGGAGGTGGCGGGGCTCGCGCCCGCGGCTACGGGGGTGCTTAAGCCCCCTTGAACCCTCCCGCCCCTCCCTACTACTCCTCCTCATCGCTGCCCGTGCATCTCCAGTGCGTGCCGCGTTTGGGGGGGGGGGGGGAAGAGGGTGTGGGGGTGGCGGGTATTTGAAGGCAGCCGCCTCCCCTTCTCCTCCTCCTTCCGCTGCACTTCCTATCCTCCTCCTCTCTCCTCTCCTCTCCTCTCTCCTCTCCTCCAGCCGCCTCCTCCTCCGCTTGTTTGCTCCTCCAGCCGATTCTTATCGACTCTCCACCTGTGCGCCACCAACTTCCTCCTCCTATCCAACGGTTGGTGTTAATCACCAGCATCCTACGCCCTCCGGTTATCCCAGCCCTCCTCCGCGCCCTCCGCGCCCTCCTCCGTTCTGGCGTTCACAGGTGCTGCCGGTCAGCCACTGCTGTTTCTGTGCCTATCCCAGCTACAGCAACCGCTCTCCAGGCGACCTGGTGTCAGACACCACTAGTTAAAGCCGTAGACAGTTACGGGGGTGTGTTGAATTATATATCTTATACCTGTCTACAGCTTGCTAGTGTATTTGTTAGCTATTAGAATCAACCGTTGGTGGTGCACCCTATCCATTTGCTCTTGCCTACTTGTACTTCCAATTCTATAGTGAATCCACTCTTCTTTGCCAAAACCTCTCGATGCCATCTCCTAGCTTCAAGCCTTCCTCCTAATCTTATGCCTCCTAAATAGTTACTTTGACAGTGTATTGTATGATAGATGGTTTCGTGGTGGGCTGTATATATAGTTATTGAATGTGCATGTGAGAAGTATAGCCTAATATATAGCTTAATAGTAATTATATTAAGTTTCTTCTGTATTACAATATATTAATATATGAGAGAAATTAAAATCCGGTACGGGATGCAGGTGCACCATGTGTGTAGTTAGCAGGTTTCGAGTGTACATTGCGGAAGAGCGAGTCAGCAATTAGCGGAGTCAATAGTTCCCCGTAAACCCCTTGGCAGCAGCTCTTCCAGCGAACAATCACTATCCAACCCAACCCACCCAACCCCACGCAAAGCTGGTGGACGGACGATGCACAAGGAAGGGGCAAAGAATTGAGATTGCAAGAGCCAATTCTAGGAAAGTTGTCGCAAAGCGTAACGGATAAAGTGTGCCGCAGAACAGGCCAGGCGGCGAAGCGCAGTTACGGCAGGATAGGACAGGCTAGGACGGGCCAGGCCAGTTCACAGGCGCGAAACCTGGGGATTACCGAGGCAGCTCAGTCCTGAGAGCTAAGCGGTAGCGCGTGTGATGGCGGAAATGGCGGGTAACAGTGTGATTTGCCAGCTAGCCGACGCAGAGGGCAAGTTGGCCGGCAACCCCGTGGACATTCCGCAAGACGCGGGGCCTAGGAAATTGACGGCGCTACTTAACGCCATCCTTAACAATGTACGTGCTGGTGCATGGGAGGATTCCGCGCATCGCGGATCCCTCGCGTCAAGCATTCCGTGCGTCACGCAGCCGCGTCAGTCCGTGCGTATCCGGGAAAGAGTATTCGCGCGGAAATATGGCTCGCCATTTGCGGGGAGAGGGTATAAGGGATTAAAAGGGTACAGGGTTTATTTCAGAGAAACTGTGCGCCTGTTGATGGCGTCATGCTGGCGTCGTTTTCCGAGCTCGATTCTTGCCGATTCGTGGCCGGCCCGTTCGGAGGGAGAGGCTGCAGAGCAGAGCACCTTCTTTCCTTAGCCAAAAGCTAAACCCTTGCAAGGTCCAAGGGGCGGGTTTCCGGGTTCAGGGTTTTGGGTACAGGTGCGAGAGTTGGTTTTTTCGCGGGATTAAAACTCTCATGGCATGGGTGGTGTTGCAGCAGGTGGTTGATTCTGGGGCGCACAAGCGTTGGCGTTCATGCCCGTGTTGTGTTCCATCCCTTCCCCGGTTCTGTGTGTACGCACATGTGCGTGTGCGTACATGTGTGTGTGTACGTATGTGCATGTGCGTGTGCATGTGCATGTGCGTGTGCATGTGCATGTGCGTGTGCATGTGCATGTGCGTGTGCATGTGCATGTGCGTGTGCATGTGAATGTCCATGTGTGTGTGTGTGCGAGCATGGCATCAGGAGGAGAGGCTACCATACGCGTTCTATATCGACGACAGGGAGGTCTCAGAGCCGCTAGGGGAGCACCTCAGAGAACACAAAGGTGACTCCCCACCCTTCCGTCCGCGCCCTTGCCTCCCCGCGCTTCTCTCCCCACGCTTCCCCCCCCGCCCTTCCCGCCCCGGCCTCCCCGGCCTTCCATTGGACCCTCTTCTGTCGGCACACGCTCGTTTCAGATTTGAGACGTCTCAAAACACGCTCGTTTCAGATTTGAGACGTCTCAAAACACGCTCGTTTCAGATTTGAGACGTCTCAAAACACGCTCGTTTCAGATTTGAGACGTCTCAAAACACGCTCGTTTCAGATTTGAGACGTCTCAAAACACGCTCGTTTCAGATTTGAGACATCTCAAAACACGCTCGTTTCAGCTGCAAATTGCTTCATCCTGTGTGCTCCCATCCTTCCCTGTGAACTCCTCCGATACCGCCTCGCCTCCTTCATCCTTGCCCACTTTCCTCTCCCCTTCCCAACAATCGTGGAACCATGGTGGCTGCCTCTTTGTCTCTTCTCACCTCTCGCCCCACCCCGTTCGACCCCACCCCACCCCACCCCACCCCACCTCACCCCACCCACCGCTCACCTCTCGCGCATCAGTGTCCATGCATGATGTTCATCAATTGCTGGGCCCTCACAATGCTTCCCTCCCTTTTCCCCTTCCCTCCCCTCTCCTCCCCTGCCCCCGTGCCTCCTGCCCCCGTGCCCCCTGCCCCCTGCCCCCTGCCCCCTGCGCCCTGCCCCTCTGCCCCCTTCTTCTCCCCCCCCCGGCAGTGTCGGTGGAGAAGGTGTTGTCCATAGTGTACCAGCCACAGGCCGTGTTCCGAATCCGATCCGTCACTCGCTGCTCCGCCACCATCCCAGGTCAGGACTCAGCCCTCGCTTCGCTTCGCTTCCCATTCTCACCTCACCTGACTGACAGCTGTCGCCCGTCGCCTCTCACCAGCCTCCACACTCCCTCCCCCCCTCCCACCTGCCTGAATGATGAAGCCGTGAGCCTGAATGATGAAGCCGTGAGCCTGAATGATTAAGCTGTGACCTTCACATTCTCCCCCTTCTATAACCCACCCTCCATCACCCCCTCGGCCCCCCCTCTTCCCCTCCTCTGCCCACCGGACAGCAGGCAGCTGGACAGCCGCACTAGCAAACCAGTGCAATCCTTGGTCACGTTTGAGTCGACTCAAAATTCGAGTCGACTCAAACGTCGAGTCGACTCAAACGTCAGCAGGCAGCTGGCAGCACACCACTGCAATCCTTCCCTGCTCTTCTTCACCCACTTACCCATCCATCCGCCGCACCCCGTTCGCGCTCCCCCATGCAGGTCACACAGAGGCGGTGCTAGCAGTGGCGTTCTCCCCGGACAGCAAGCAGCTGGCGAGCGGGTCAGGCGACACAACAGTGCGGTTCTGGGATGTGGACACGCAGACGCCGCTCAAGACGCGCGCCGGGCACAAGAACTGGGTGCTGTCGCTGGCGTGGTCGCCCGATGCCAAGTGGCTGGCCACGGGCGGCATGGACGCGCACGTGCTGCTGTGGGAGTCGCCTGCTGGGGCGAAAGACCCCGTTGCTCTCAAGGTGAGGGAAGGGGCGGGTTGGGAGGGCGAGAGACTGTTTGTGGGTGGGGTGGAATTGTGACTGCTTCTGCTTGTGTTTTTGTTGATGTGTGTCTGTGTCGGGATAAAGGCCATAGCATGGGAGCCGGCACACACAACTTATCCCTAATCCCTGACCCGCCTCGCCCCCACTTTCCTGTTCTTCTTTCCCCTCGCCCCATTCCCCCCCACACCAGGGCCACCGCAAGTGGATAACGGCCATAGCATGGGAGCCGGCGCACGTGGCGCTGCCGTGCCGGCGCCTGGCGAGTGCAAGCCGAGACGGGGACGTGCGCGTGTGGGATGCCGTGCGGCGCGCCACGCTGTTCATACTCACGGGCCACACACTGGCTGTCACCAGTCTGCGCTGGGGGGGGGATGGCGTGATTTACTCGGGGTGAGTGAGTCGCAACATGCACGTGTGTGTGCACGTGTGGCAAGTGTGGCAAGTGTGGGACGCTGTGAGGTGCACCACGCTGTGAGGTGCACCACGCTGTGAGGTGCACCACGCTGTTCATACGGACAGGGCACACTCTCTAGCTGTCACTGGCTTGCGCTGGGGCAGCGATGGCGTTATCTACTCGGGGTGAGTGCCAGAATATCGCTCTGGTCGTCGCGTGTCTGCGATGGTGGCGTGGGGGGATTGCTTACACTTAATGTGTTCTCCACCTGTGTTTGTATCTTATTTTCATGCCCTTCTTTCACCTCCCACCACTCTGTTTTCCTGACCCCCGCTCTCCTCCCACCCACCCACCCACCCACCTCCCGCCACCCCCGTCCCTGCACCCTTGCTGTCGTCCTCACCTCCCTCGCCTGCCTCTTCCCCTTTCCCCCACCGTCCGTTCCCTCACCGCCCTTGCCCCCACCCCCACCGTTCTCGCCTCAGCTCTCGGGACTGCGCGGTGCGCATGTGGAGTGCTGTCAACAGCCGGCGCCACCCCACCCTCTCCCTGACCCCTCGCTCTCCTCTCACACCCTTCCTCTCCCCCCCATTTTCGCCAACAGCTCTCGGGACTGCACGGTGCGCATGTGGAGTGCTGTCAACGGCGCTGCTCTGCAGCAGCTCAAGGTAAGCCGGCTGGCCGCATGCGCTGCATTTTTAGACGTCGCAATGTGTGTGTGTGTGTGTGTGTTTTTTTTTTTTTTTTTTTTTTTTCTCCAAATCGTTGGCAGTCAGGGGCATTGGTTGAACTAGTTGGCACAGAGCACGAGCTATGCGCTCAGAACATCACAGCTTTTGAGCCACACTCCAACATCATGTTGAGCCCACCCCATCCCACCCCATCCCACCCTCTTCGCACACCCCCTGGCAGGGTCACGGGCACTGGGTGAACTCGCTAGCGCTGAGCACGGACTATGCGCTGAGAACAGGCGCGTTTGACCACGGGGGAGTCAACGGCCTCCCTGCAACGGACGAGGAACGCAAGGTGGGGCTGTGGGCGTAGGCGCACGCACAGGTGGCGCTGTGGGCGCGCGGGGGGGGGCTGTGGGCGTGCGGGGGAGGGGCTGTGGGCGCACGGGGGAGGCTGTGGGCGCGCGGGGGGGGTTGTGAGCGCGCGCGGGGGGTTGTGAGCGCGCGGGGGGGGTTGTGCATGCGCGGTTGAGGTTGTGGACGCGCGGCCCAAAAGGGGTGTGGGCTGTGTGCAGGTGGGTGGATTATGAGGCGACCCAGACGGTGGGCTGAGTGCGTGCGTACACATGGTTTGGACTGTCCGCAGTGGAAAACGGTGGGTGGGGAAATGGGGGCGGAGTGGGGATGTTGTGCTGGGGTGACAGGGAGGGAGAGAAAGAGAAAGTGAGGATTCTAAAAGGGTCGGTAGCAGCACCGGATGGTTGGTTGGGACTAGTATTCTTTTCCGTGCAAGGAAGCATAATCTCACAAGGTTTTCTAGAATTCTCCAGAACCAATTCTGAGAATTCTCAAAAACCAGCAAGGCGGCATAATCTCACAAGGTTCCTCACAAGGCAGCATGGGATGGTTGGGGTGACTTTTGCGTCGACTCACAAGTCTCCTCACAAGGCAGCATGGGATGGTTGGGGTGACTTTTGCGTCGACTCACAAGTCTCCTCACAAGGCAGCATGGGATGGTTGGGGTGACTTTTGCGTCGACTCACAAGTCTCCTCACAAGGCAGCACCGGATGGTTGGGGGACCACAGGCTCACCCACCCTCTCCATCCCCTTCTCTCTCTCACACCCACTCGCCCCACAAGGATAACGTATGAATCCGGTATGAGGCAGTGGAGTGTTAGAAGGAAAATATAGAGGGACTTGTTCCGTTCCGAGCTCCATCTGAATCCCTTGCCCGTGCTTCCTTCTTGAGGCCCCTCAAATGAAGGAAAATGAGGCGATTTTTTAGGCGCCTCAAGAAGGAAAATGAAGCGGATCTGGTCTCGGGGCCCATCTGATTTTCTTGCCCTTTTTTTTTTTTTTTTTTAGGGCCCCATCTGAAGTTGCTCAAATCAAATGTCATTGCACTCCTCCCCTCCGTACCCACGGGGCCCTCCTTCCCTCCTTGCACCTTTTCCTATTTCCCATTGGAAGGTACCCAAGCTTATGTTTGGTCACTCTTTCCCTCTTTCACTCTTTCCCTCTTTCACTCTTTCCCTCTTTCCCTCTCCACCACACGCCCCACACCAGGAGAAGGCGCGAGTGCGGTACGAAGCCGTGAAAGGCGAGAGTGGCGAGAGGCTGGTGTCGGGGTCGGATGATTTCACCATGGTGCTCTGGCACCCCGCTGCTGCCATGCAGCCCAACTCCCCACTCGCTGCCGCACTTAAAGCCAAGCTCACAGGCCACCAGCAGGTGCGGTGGGTGGGTGGGTTATGTTATGAGTGAACGATGAATATGACCTTGCATGGCTTGCGGTGGGAGGGTGGGTGGATTATGAGTGGGCGTTTGAGGTTGCCACGGGCCACTATTGAGAGCTTTGCAAAATCAGCTCGGATCATCACCTGGGAGTGGTTCTCTCAACTTCAGAAACACTTACGGAGCATCACTCAGTCAGTACGAATGGGTGAATAAAAGGTGTACAACAAGTGGCGTGTGTGTTGACATGGCTATCCGTCCATTTCCCTTTGTTTTTGCTGTTTACCCTTCCTCTCCTCCTCTCCTTCCTCCCCTCCTTTCCCTCTCCCCCCACTGCTCTCCTGGTCCAATTTGTGAACCACACATACTTCTTTCCCAGCAGGCCCTGTTGGCTTTTGTGCCAACTCAAAAGTGAAAAGCCACTTCTCTACTTTAAGTCGCACACCTTCTCTCCTCCTCCTCTCCCCCGTTCCTCCTCTCGTCCCCTCCCCTTTTTTCCCCTCTCCCCCTTCTCGCCTGCAGCTAGTGAACCACGTGTACTTCTCCCCCGATGGTTGCTGTTGACTCCTTAGCGGGACGATCCTTAGTCACACACTTGCTCTCCCTTCCTCGCTTCTCCCCCCCCCCCCCCCCCCCCCCCCCCACCGTCGCGCCTGCAGCTAGTGAACCACGTGTGCTTCTCCCCCGATGGCCGCTGGTTGGCATCAGGGTCGTTCGACAAGAGCGTGAAGCTGTGGGACGGAGTCTCAGGCCGCTTCATTGCGTCCTTTCGAGCGCACGTCAGCCCCATCTACCAACTCTGGTGCGCTGGGGGCATGGAGTGAGGGAGGGCGGGAAGGTGGAGGAAGGAGGGAGTGGTGGTGGGAGAGGGAGTGACAGGGGTTTTCTTGCCTGTACCGAGAGGGGGTATTGGTGTGCTTCTTTGCGTCCTGTCGAGCACACGTCAGCCCAGTTACCAGCACTGGTGCGCTGGGGCATGGAGGAACGAGGGAAGAGAGAGAGAGGGGGGGGGGATTCAAGAAAGGGAGGGAGGAAATGAGGGAGGGATTAACAGAGAGAAGGAATAATGGTGTTTTCTTGACTGTGAGCACCCTCTTGGTATGCACCCTCTTGGTATGCACCCTCTTGGTATGCACCCTCTTGGTATGCACACAAGTGGAACGTTTAGAAGGGTATGCACCCTCTTGGTATGTTTTCTTGACTGTATCTACTCTTTCCACTTAGCCCTTTGTTACTAACCATAGCTCTCTTTCTGCAGTTGGTCGGCAGACAGTCGTCTTCTAGTGAGCGCCAGCAAAGACAGCACACTCAAGGTACACACAAGCATGCACGCATGTTGCTGGGATGCACTGCTAGTTTTATTGCACCCATACAAGCATGCTGATGCTGTTACGCATGTTGCTGGGATGCACTGCTATTTTTATTGCACCCATACAAGCATGCTGCGCATTACACTGTTACACTACCTCTGCTGTGAATCCTCACGTCATGAATCCTCACGTCATGAATCCTCACGTCATGAATCTTCATCTTATGGATCCTCATGATGCTCTGTACGTTCCATGGGATGTGAAAGCTGCTATTGCCCACCTATGTTCCCGGGCATAGCACAGTCAAGGCTGCTTCTAGGTCAGCTACCATCCATTCCATACTCACTGACTGAACTGGGATATAACTTGGATATGTGGTTCTTGTGCCATGCCATGGCATGGCATGGCATGGCAGGTGTGGGACCTGCAAACGCGCAAAGTGAGGGAGGATCTACCAGGGCATGCGGATGAGGTGGGTCCTTGCCTTTGCTCTTATTGCTCTTCTCTTCTCTGCTCTGCTACTTTTTAAGAGCTGGGCTGGAGTGGAGTGGGTCTGTGCTTTTATATGTATATATATGGGAAATGAATCACAGAGCGGTGACTGAAGGGGTGAGAGAAGGTGAGGTGGGGAGCACGGAAAAGGAGAGATTTGTTGTACTACCATGTGTAATCTCTTTTGTGTGAATGGTTGGTTGCTGTACAGGTGTTTGCCGTTGATTGGAGTCCAGATGGCACCAAGGTGGCATCGGGAGGCAAGGATAGAGTATTGAAGCTATGGATGACATGATTATTACGAGTTTGTCATGTAGTCCTCCTCGTCGGGTCGGGTGTTACAGAAGTGTGGTTATTGTTATGCTGCAGATATGTTACAAACAATCAATATGCAATTGTAAAAACGGAATTTATATGCTCCACAACACACACATAGACCACACAAAGCCAAGTGCATTTTCTGTATATCATGAAAGCGCAGCAGTTCTGTAACTGGCTGAAGCTGCTGTGTAAGTACCATATATGCTGTATATCGGGTTTTGCCTTGAATGAGAGACTGAAGGGTGAATTGAAACTGGAGAGTAGGCAGGCAGTGATCAAAGCCACAAACTTCAGCTTCTGCTTCTTTTGTTAAAAAATGAGCTGCACTCAAACTAAATCCCTTAAACCGTACTGTACGGGTTGATAGACATGTGTACAAACCATCCAGAAAGCACGCCATCTAAATAAACAAAACCACCTCAGTTCCAACAAACTAGCCAAAGCAAACGGGATCACAGCACTCGGGCCAGGCAAAAAGCCGGAATACACTTAGAGCTCCCTCGCCCGCCTCCTGAGCTCATTCAGCTCTGCTTCCACCTCCAGCTCCTTGAGCGACCTCTGTGACCGCCCCTCTGGCAGTGACGAGGAGGACCTCTGTGGGCGCAGGAGCAGACGTAGAGGCATGGGAAGACATGGTTGGGGGTACAGGTTTGGTTGGCAGAAAGCAGCTAGAGTATGGGGGGGAAGAAGAGTGCAGGGAACACGTGGGGGGAGAGGAGTAGCAGAGCGAGAGCAGGCGGCATGGAGTGTGTGGGTGCGTATCGTACCTTGTCTGGCAGCAGCATGTCCATCTTGAGCGCCTCCAGGTCATCATCCACTGACCCCTTCTCCAGCAGGGCGAACTGCACACATGTATAGACATACACACACACACACACACACACACACACATACACACATACACACACAAATACACACACGTACAATGCATGGGCAGGTAGAGAGAGCAGATGTATTTAGATAAGCAGAGGGGTAGAGTGGAAGGAAAAAACACAATGGCGTTTGCACTGAATGGGGTGGGTATGTTTGCACAGGATGCTCATATCACACACGGCATCTTGAATATGGGAAGAAAGCATGATAAAAGTAACCCAGGAACTCCAATGCCATGGATGTAGACACGAACGCAGGCCGGCAGACAGGCAGGCAGGCAAGCGGGCACGCGGGCAAGCACCCACCTTGGAGGAAAGATCATCTGACGTCAGCTGGCCCACAGCCTCTGACTCCGCCTCGAGAGCAAGCACTGCTCAAAACATTCACATGCCAAAGGGGGAATGGGGGAGGCCGGAAGGGTACAAAGACGGGATACTGAGAAGTGATACGGAACGTCAGTTAGCAGACATGGCAGCGGAATGTGCTGGTATGGAAGATGGGTCACACCCTGGTGAGAGTTGAAGGTGTAGTCAGAGTTGGTAAGAGCAAGCAAGCCAGCCCAAGGTTACTCTTCACACAGACCCAGATCAATTGCCGAAAATCACGCTCGCTTTCGCAAGCATTACTCCCCCATAGAAGCGCACGTTCTCAACACACACCAGCATAGCTTCCCTCCTTCCAATGCGGGCGTGTCACGCGTCTCACCTTTCTCCTCCATCTTCTCGAACGCAGCCAGAGAGCTGCTGGTGCTGATGCCGCCCACCAGCTCGTTCACCTTCTGCTGCGTCCTGTAGTCCATAAGAGAAGGAAAGCGAAAGAGATGGGAGAGATGGACGCGGGTAGTGTGAGCAGCGAGAGGAGGAGGGGGCAAGTGGAGGTGGAATCGCGGCAGCTCCACCACATGTGTACACAAGCACACCGCTCAAGCACAGGCACGATAACTCTGGCCCCAATTGAGAGGGACGATGCACCCTAATTCTGGTCAGAGTGATGGTGAGGGCGCTCGTAGATCTAGCGGGCACATTGCTGAGGAAGGGCCAGCACATTGCTGGCATGCCAAAACACAAGGACGGCTTACTTTGCAGACTGAGCGCGGGCCTTGAGAGTGTCCTTCTTCGCCTTGGCCTCCGAAATCTTGCTCTCCAGAAGCTGCACCGCACACACACCCACACACATTGAGACCAGGGGAAGACGGCCGCATGCACACACCAAACACCGACACGCAAACGAGAAAAGCAGTGCACGAGAAAAGCAGTGCATGGAAGGAAGGAGATTGGTAAACTTGGTGCTTGACGTTCGCACGGGTAGGGCAGCATGGCGTTTGGCGAGTGACGCAGCAATCTAGCCTGCGGAAGTGCTCGCTCATGCTATCCTACAGATCATGCGTTGGTAATAATGACGCGCCATTCAGAACACTTGGCTGACAAATGACCATATCAGCGGCGGCCCGAGCGGCGGCCCACACAACGGAACTCACCCGGGTGTTGCTGATGAGCTTCTCTGCTGTCGTCTGCTGCTGTTCCAGCTGCCCCTCAAGACTCCTCGCGTTCTCCTGCACGACACGAGCATTACGAATGTGAACGCCTTAGTGAAAAGGTGTGGCTTTCCAAACCTCTCAAATGTGCTCTAAGGTGGGTCGAAAGCATTGCTAACGAAAAGAAAAACAACTTCTTCTCACTGTTTCAAACCTGTGATACCTCAGTAACGCTCCTCGTAATGCCCACAAATTCGACAATAGTGCGACAATACGCGCCCCCTAACAGCCTGTGCCGCCTTACCTCGAACTCCTTGCGCCTCTTGAGGGCCTCCTTCGCCAGCTCCTCCTCTCCCTTGGCCAGGGCCAGCTTCGCCCGCGCATACCTGCGGGAGGAGGAAGGGAGGGGCGAGAACGGGAGGAGGAAGGAGGGGAAAGTGGGGGAATGCGTGAGAGCACGGCGGAGCGATGCGATGAGCACAGGATTGTAGGGCAAACGAGGTTTGTAAACTGGTAAAGCAGTCGGAGAGGCGCGGGAGCGAGAAGACGGCAGCATACGCGAAAAACGTCGCGGAAGCACTTCCAATGTCTCCGCCACTATAAATCGTTGACAGAATAGAGCTCACGGGAAAGGCTGGTGCGAGTGACAGTACGCACCAGTCGTCGGAGCTTTGCTGTGCGGCCTTAAACTTGTTCTCCAGCATCTTGGTGCTGGCGAGCACCTGTGGGGCCACCCAGTCAGCACGCACGCCAAATATAGGGCGGAGACAGCAAGGATCAGCGCAGAGCGACCTCGGTGAACGTACAGCAAAAATATACAGTTTCACAGCTTCGCAGCTCGACGCCCAGAAGGCGAGGACAAGAATTGCGCATGTGAATTAACAGATGTGCTTGCAAGAGATAGCATCGATGAAATAGTGAAGGACTACAAGAATAAACGCGCGAGGAGAGGTGAAGCGGGAGGAGTGAGTCACCTGTGCGGTGGCTTGTCGCAGCTTGATAAGGTCGTTCTGCATGTCCTCGACCGTCTGATCCAGCATCTTCTCGGGGTCCTCCAACGAGCTCAACGCCGCGTTCGTGTATGACTGCCAGCAACGCGACAGACGAGGACGGGAAGAAAGTGACGAGGGGACGGATGATAATGAGGAGAAGAACGAAGAGGACGAGAGAACAAAGCTGGTAAAGGGTTTCGAAAATGGTAAGAATCCACAAACGTAGCTTTAACTGGTCAGAGCAGTGCAAGCGAAGGAACAATTGAGAAACGAAAATAGTAATAAACATACCTTGACGATCCGAGAGACACGGTCAAAGATATTCATCTCGGACGCCAAGGCTCCTCCGTTGCTGCCAGTGGCACTGACAGCTTGCTGCAACCGCCATGAATCTGCATAATTTCAAAAGCAAACCACATGCGACACGGTGCCGTCCATTACAAGCTTGTTTCTTACCCGTTACCGAGCTGAAAGACTAATTAGTTTGCGTAAACATTCTTAGAACACAAACATATTTCGTTTAGGACCGCCTTTGACGGCTTGACAGCATGGGAGAACCTGAGGGGAAGGACGAAATAACGGGAGCGAAAGATGGAAGGCGAAATAAAGTTGCGAAGCTAGAGGCATGCACAAAATGACGTACCGCGGCCGGTGAAGAACGTGCTCTGAGAAGAAACCGAAGCTCGGGTTCCTGAGAGCATCCTGGAGCTCAGGGTAACACGGCTGCCATTCTGCTGAGCACCTTTGCTGCCTGTCGCGAAGACAGGAAGGACCTTAGAGCCGTTTGCAAGAGCCGCCATAGTTTGAAAGAGGCTGCAAGGCAAACTCTAGTAAAATGGCTTCGAGTCTGGAAGGGCAAACACCCGTCAAACGCTGGATCAATTCTGATGAGAGATCGCAGCTTCTGGCTTGTGCTGCAAATTTGGATGGATAGATAAACACACAGCAATAGGCCAGGAGAGAGGGGTAGTCCCACCCAAAGGTCTGCCAGGCAAATTGCAGTGTGAGAATTCCGATTCCTGAATCCTAAGGTGTGTGGAGCGGAGCAAGGGAGGCAGGAAACGGAGGTACGGATGAGGTTCGGAGAGAAGGTAGAGAAATTCAGTGGTAGGTTTGGAAAGCCTTGTTCGGAGCCGCGTGACGAGGTTTGGAGACGAAACCACAAGGGAGAAGGTGCACTGCGAAGGTCTGGCAAAGCATCCTGGTAACGCGGGATTGATTTGTGGCCTGCGAACAACTTCACGTTTCACGAATCGTTGTTGCGAAAATTTTCGGGATTCCAATCTGTTTTCGTGTGACAACAATGGCACGAAATGTGAGGGCTTCACGCAACCGACGTGGCAGAGGATTTCCCAAGGGTGTTTCCTCATTGGCGTTGTCCAATCGAGCAGGAGAGCGAGAACAGTTCCTTCTGCCACGTCCGCACCAAATCGCCAGTCACCATCAGTACGGCAAAGGTTGAAGTCGCAAGGAAGGGGGCCCGCAACTCATCTCGAGCCAGTTTTCCTGGCAAGGTTGGAATGAAGCCAAAACTAGACTAAAGCCCTGGAACACCACCTAAACATTTATGTTTGAGATGTGTCATTTCATAAAGTACGGTAGTCCTACATGGAATGTACAGCTTCAGATTGAGATAACAAGTTATGACCCTATTCATTCCCTTTTACAAACGCATGTGAATTGAATAACTGCCCTTTTAATATAGAAGATTCCACTCTCATGTGTGGCGATCAGAAGTTGATTGTGCCTAGGATCACCTCAGGAAGGTTCGCACACAACTGAGTAGTGGTGGTGGGCCCGTGACCTCAATAGCAGAGTGAATGTAAATGCTTCAGATAATAAAAACATGCAAATACAGCACTATAAATAAGATTACAAGGGAATACCAATCGACATAGCTAGCCATGTACTCTAAGGGGTACATTCCCTTATTACAGCGAGATCCAACCGTGCGACTCCAGACAGTTACGAAACTGTCCGGGTAGAATCCTCGCCACTGCTGCTGCCTGCTGCTGTCTGCCCGACGGTCTGTCAAAATGAGAACGAAGGAATGATTGAACTAGCAAGCAGTTGGGTACAAGTAGGAAATCTAGAAGTGTTGTACCATATATTGACTACCCCACTACAGCCTAAACAGACTATGTCATATATGTTTGACACACCCCCATAGGCAAAGTGGGGGAGAACAAGAGGTCACAAGACCGGTCAAGAAAGACAAAGCAAGCTCAGGGTGGATCACGACGTCATCACGCAGTCTGAGCACAAGCAAATGGCCACAAGGCCAGTTCACATGCAGAGTTATATAAAGGAGAACAAGCAATACAGTCATCTCAACCTAGCAAGTGTAAGCATGCAGTTATAGGTATAGAGATCACAGTACAAGCAGAGTCAAGAAGTAAGCAAGTGAGGCACAGTAGGCACAAGGCCTAGAACAGTACAGAAACGCTGATGATCACAAGGCTGAAGTGCCTTGGTGAAAACATCAGCAGTGTTGGCCCGAGTGGCCACGTAAGCAAGACGAAGCTGACCACGCTGCTGCAGCTCTCGAGCAAGGAAGTAGCGCAGAGCGATGTGCTTCGTGCTGTGCTCCAGTCTGTGCTCCTGACACAAGGCAATCATGGCATTGTTGTCGACGTACAGCACTGGAGGAGAACGAGGCGGCTCTCCCAGGTCGGTCAGCAGGTAGGTGAGCCAGCGTAACTCCTGTGCAGCCATGTCCCCTGCGTAGATCTCAGCCTCACAGCTGGAGCTGAGAACAGAAGACAAGCGGGTAGACCGCCAAGAAACAGAGCCGGAGCCAAGGCTGAAGGTGTAACCCTGTGACGATCGCTGCGTAGCCAAGTCGTCAGCCCAAGAAGCGTCTGCGTGACCAGTGAGGACAACTCGAGCCCGTCCTCCAAGCACGAGCCCCATGCCCGACGTACTGCACAAGTAGCGCAACACCCTCTTAGCGGCATCCATGTGCTCCTTCCTGTGTCGGCCAGGAGCGACATAGCGTGCTAGGATGCTAAGAGGGTAGGCAAGGTCAGGTCGAGTGCAGGTCATCAGGTACATGAGGCAGCCCACAAGCTCTGGATACGGGCCACTCGGCTCTACGGACTCGTCCGAAGGTGGAGCTGAGAGCGAGTGACCGGTAGGCAGAGGAGTGGACTGTGGCGAGGAGTACGTGAAGCGGAAGCGCTGAAGGACCTGCTGCACCATGTGTGACTGAGTCAGGGTAATGGTGCGCTGTGCTCTGTCCCGGGTGATCCGCAAGCCAAGATAGCTTGTCAGCTCACCCACGTCTGTGCACGTGTGTCTCTTCTGCAGCTCCGACTTCACGTGGGCGAGTCCCTCAGTGTCAGAAGTAGCAAAGACCAAGTCGTCTACGTACACGAGAACGTAGAACGGCGGCAGAGTGGTGTCGGTGCGTAGAAATAGCGACGAGTCAGCAGTAGAAGGAGTAAACCCAAGAGCAGCAAGAGTAGTCCTCAGTGTGTTGTGCCACTCACGGGGTGCCTGGCGGAGACCGTAGACTGGCCGCCGGAGGCTCCACTGGGTACCAGCAGGAAACGACCCAGTGAAGCCAGGTGGGCGGCGCAGCCAGATCTCCTCGTGCAGGCTGCCCTGTAGGAAAGCAGTGCTGATGTCAAGAGAGTGAAGCTCGTAGTCACGCTGAGCGGCGACGTACAGCAGAACCCGAAGAGTGGTCATCTTCGGGGTAGGGGAGAAGGTCTGGAAGAAGTCAACTCCCTCACGCTGACTGAAGCCTCGTGCAACGTAACGCGCCTTGAAGACAGGCGGAGAACCCGGCGGCCGCTTCACCCTGAAAATCCACATGCCACTGACGATGTTCGCCCCAGGTGAGGGAACCTCGTCGACGTAGGTGCCTGTGGACTTCCATGAAGCCATCTCTGCATCCATGGCTGTCTGCCACTGAGAGGAGTAGGGACCCTCTATCGCCTCTGCGTAAGAGCGCGGGGTCGGGATGTCTGTGTCACGAGACGAACTTAGCTAGGAACGGGTTTAACTAGGGCCTAGGCTTAGAAGCCTAGGCCAAGCGGGTAACGAGTAGTTTGTGCCAAGGAGAAATGTCGAGAATGGTTGTTGTTCACTATAGCACACAAGGTACATATAGCAAACTAGCAAAGGTGCACCACCAACAACAAGGAATCATAACTAGACTAGAGCTAAGGCTACAGGCAGTTATAAACATATATAAATATATATCACGACACACCCCCTTAACTGCCTGCAGCACATAGCTAGAGTAAGTCACACCCCCCTGAAGGGGTATTGCAGGCGTTGTGAAAGACTGTAGAGAGGTAAGTGAGGAGAAGGAGGCGAGAGAGAGACAGGAGAGGAGAGGAGATAAGAACAAAGGAGGAGGTGAGTGAGGGATGAGGAGAGGAGGTGGGGGGGTGGCCGCGGCGTCCCCTCTTACTAACCCCCTTTTACACAGGGGGGGTTGGTGGGGGGGTGGCCGCAGCGTCCCCTCTTACTAACCCCCACATCCCCACCCCCAATCAACCAACCCCCTGTAACCTCACCCCCCATTTCAACCGCTCCCTGGAACCGCACTCCCTCCCCCCTTTTCTTCCTCCAGACCCCTCCCCACCCACGATGGTCCCTGTCCAATTCTTCACAGGTGGGGCTGCTGGTCACGGGTGGGGTTGCTGGTCACAGGTGGGGCTGCTGGTCACAGGTGGGGCTGCTGGTCACAGGTGGGGCTGCTGGTCACAGGTGGGGCTGCTGGTCACAGGTGGGGCTGCTGGTCACAGGTGGGGCTGCTGGTCACAGGTGGGGCTGCTGGTCACAGGTGGGGCTGCTGGTCACAGGTGGGGCTGCTGGTCACAGGTGGGGCTGCTGGTCACAGGTGGGGCTGCTGGTCACAGGTGGGGGGCTGCTGGTCACAGGTGGGGCTGCTGGTCACAGGTGGGGCTGCTGGTCACAGGTGGGGCTGCTGGTCACAGGTGGGGCTGCTGGTCACAGGTGGGGCTGCTGGTCACAGGTGGGGCTGCTGGTCACAGGTGGGGCTGCTGGTCACAGGTGGGGCTGCTGGTCACAGGTGGGGCTGCTGGTCACAGGTGGGGCTGCTGGTCACAGATGGGGCTGCTGGTCACAGGTGCCTGGTGCTGGCGGCTGGCGCTTGTGCTGGTGCCTGGTGCTGGCGCTGGTGCCTGGTGCTGGCGGCTGGCGCTGGTGCTGGTGCCTGGTGCTGGCGGCTGGCGCTGGCGCTGGTGCCTGGTGCTGGCGGCTGGCGCTGGTGCTGGTGCCTGGTGCTGGCGGCTGGCGCTGGTGCTGGTGCCTGGTGCTGGCGACTGGCGCTGGTGCCTGGTGCTGGCGGCTGGCGCTGGTGCTGGCGCCTGGTGCTGGCGGCTGGCGCTGGTGCTGGTGCCTGGTGCTGGCGGCTGGCGCTGGCGCTGGTGCTTGGTGCTGGCGGTTGGCGCTGGTGCTGGTGCCTGGTGCCTGGTGCTGGTTCCTGGTGCTAGTGGCTGGCGCTGGTGCTGGTGCCTGGTGCTGGCAGCTGGCGCTGGTGCTGGTGCCTGGTGCTGGCGGCTGGCGCTGGTGCTGGTGCCTGGTGCTGGCGGCTGGCGCTGGTGCCTGGTGCTGGCGGCTGGCGCTGGTGCTGGTGCCTGGTGCTGGCGGCTGGCGCTGGTGCTGGTGCCTGGTGCTGGCGGCTGGCGCTGGCGCTGGTGCTTGGTGCTGGCGGCTGGCGCTGGTGCCTGGTGCCTGGTGCCTGGTGCTGGTTCCTGGTGCTGGTGGCTGGCGCTGGTGCTGGTGCCTGGTGCTGGCGGCTGGCGCTGGTGCTGTTCCGCCGCCACTCCCTTCCCCCTTTTCCTCTCTCCCCCACAGCATTCCGCCGCCACTCCCTTCCCCCTTTCCCTCTCCCACCCACAGCGTTCCGCTGCCAATCCCTTCCCCTCCTCCCTCTCCCACCCACAGCGACCGCCACTGCACACGCGAACAGTCGCGACGGGAGGGGGGGGAGGGGGGGGAGGTGACGAGCAGGGGGCCGGGGGAATGCGACGGGCGGAGCGAGGCGAAGGGAAGGAAGAAAACGGGACGGGGGGGAAAGGGCCGCGACGACCGCCACCGTCGCCGTCCCCTTCATTCCCGATGCCGTCCCCCCTCCTTCCCCACTCTCGCGCAAACTCGGCAGCAGGCGTAGGCGCGGGCAGAGGTGGTGAGGGTGGGGAAATGCGACGGGCTGACGACGGGGGAAATGCGACGGGCTGGCGACGGGGGAAACGCGACGAGCTGGCGACGGGGGAAACGCGACGGGCTGGCGACGGGGGGAAAACGCGACGGGCTGGCGACGGGCAGGCGACGAGGGAAAAAAAAACGACGGGCTGGCGACGAGGGAAACGCGGCCGGCTCGCCGCCGCGCCCGTCGCAGCGAGCGCCGTGCCACGAATGGGTGGGCCCATTAACTTAGGTCAGGAACTTAATCGCTCTATACCATGTCACGAGACGAACTTAGCTAGGAACGGGTTTAACTAGGGCCTAGGCTTAGAAGCCTAGGCCAAGCGGGTAACGAGTAGTTTGTGCCAAGGAGAAATGTCGAGAATGGTTGTTGTTCACTATAGCACACAAGGTACATATAGCAAACTAGCAAAGGTGCACCACCAACAACAAGGAATCATAACTACACTAGAGCTAAGGCTACAGGCAGTTATAAACATATATAAATATATATCACGACAGTCTGGTGCATCCGGGTCTCCCTCAGGGGCAATCAGCATGGACACGAGATGAGGTAAAGCAGCGGCAAAGCACTCAAACTCCTCCTGTCTGTCCTCAAGGACGTCCGTGCCAAGAGCACACTCACCCCCGATGGACGGAGGACAGACAGACTCAGACTTAGACTCAGCAACAAGACTAGCGGCGTAGTCTAGACGACAGGCGGCAGCAAAGTCAACAAGCTCAGCAAATAGAGCAGACGCAGCAGTAGACTCAAACGAAGGGTCAGTGACAACAGTGGCGAGGAAACGCGTGACAGTAGGACTAGCAGCACGAAGGGAGTCAGACTCCGGGTCCGGACCGTCAGGAAGAGAGGACGCAGGAGGAGACGGCAGAGGGACACGCTGTGGAGCAGTGGAAGGACGCAGAGTCATATAGTGAGTGCCAGGGACAGGAGGAGGACGCTGACGCGGAACACGACCAGTGCGGACAGCGCGAACAGGCGACTCAGGACGAGACTCAGGCGACGCAGGACGAGACTCAGGTGCACGACGCTCCGTAAGACCTCTAGTCGGTCCAGAGTAAGGAGAAGGACCAGGCAGTGGAGAGGCTGGCAGTAACTGCGACTGCGACTGGACAGGCGGTGGACTCAGTAAGGGAGGAGGAGGAGGACTAGTAGAAAGCGGTAGGCCAAGAACCTGCTGAAGGAGCGGAACGTAGTACGGCCACGGCCGCGCAGCGCCTCCAGAAACAGCAGAGACAGCACCAGTACCCTCCGCTCCAGGGTCTCCAGCTCCAACTCCCGCAGCACCACCAGCTGCAGCACCTCCAGCAGCACCAGCTCCACCAGCACCTCCAGCTCCAACTCCTGCAGCACTACCAGCCCCAGCAGCTCCAGTACCTGCAGTACGAGCACCTCCGGGACCAGCGGCTCCAGCACCTCCAGCAGCTCCAACACCAGCAGGACCTCCAGCAGCGCCACCTCCAGCACGAGCACCTCCAGGACCAGCGGCTCCAGCAGCTCCAGCACCAGCAGTACCCCCAGCGGCTCCAGCAGCTCCAGCACCAGCAGCACCTCCAGTGGCTCCAGCAGCACCTCCAGCAGCTCCAGCAACAGCAGCACAACGACAGCGCCGAGCGTACCACTCACGCAGCAGCTGTGTAGAGAGGGGCTCCCGCCGTGACGAGACACCCGGAGGACCTCCAGACACAGCACGCTCAGGCTCAGCACCCCCAGACTCAGCACCCCCAGGCTCAGCACCCCCAGGCTCCGCACCCTCAGACTCAGCAACCCCAGGCTCAGCACCCCCAGGCCTCGCACCCGCAGGCTCAGCACACCTAGCAGCACCAGAGTTGACAGCTACCTCGACCGGCTCGACAGGGTCTACCTGGGACACACCTGAGGGGGCAGGACCCTGAGGGGGGAGGGGGTCTACCGGAGGAGTACCTGGTGCTAGGAAGAGCGGCGGGGGGGGGGGGGGAGAGGGGCAGTGCGGTAGGGAAAGAGACGGTAGTAAGAGACAGACTCGTCAAACGTGACGTCCTGAGAGGACAGAACACAGCGCGAGGTGGGGTGGTAAAACTGCCACCCAGGCGCGTCAGGGGGGAAGCCAAGGAAAACGCAGGGAACAGCACGAGAGGACAGCTTGTCCGCGGAAGTATCGTGGACAAAAGCCCGAGATCCCCAGACACGGTACACAGACGCATCGCCAACCTTCCCCGTCCACCGCAGTGTAGGTGTGGTCTCCGGCAAGGAGACACGAGGCTGAAGGTTGATCTGATGCGCAACGTACTGAACCGCGAACGGCCACAGAAAATGGGGAGCAGCCGCATGGATCATGGACGTGCGAGCGACGTCCATGACCATGCCAATGCGGCGCTCAGCAATCCCATTCTGCTGTGGGGAGGCCGGAAGCGTGAACGTCTGGCGGATGCCCTCCGCACGACAGAAAGCCCTCAGAAGGTCGGAGGAAAACTCACCACCTCTGTCTGAGTGCAGACGCAGAACAGGATAGTCCGAGCCGAAACTCTCTCTGAGCTGGAGACGAGCAGCGCGGATCCAGTCGATCAACACCTCAGTGACCTCACCCTTGCGGCGCAAGGGGAAGACTGTGGTGTAGCGCGAGTAGTCGTCAACGACCAGCAGGAAGTAACGCTCGTGACCCTATCCACGGACGCGGGCTGGGCCCCACACGTCCATGTGGAGAGTCTGCAGAGGAGCCTCTGTCGGAGGAAACTCGGAGGAGTGAGGAGCGGCGCGCTGCCGGCCCTCAACACAAGGAACACAGGTAGGGGCAGGCCCCGGAGGAAGGGGAGGGAGGGACGGGGGGAGACCTGAGACAAGGAAACGGGAGGCCATACCTCGGAGACGAGGCAGGGAGGGGTGACCAAGGCGGTGGTGCCAAAGGAGAGTCTCGTGTGACAGAGGAAGACACGAGCAGGGGGCAGATGCCGGACTAGACCTGGACGCAGCAGCAAACACCTGACCAGACGCGACTACCTGATTTGACGTGGTAACAGGAGGAGACGCAGTAGTCAGTGTGTACATGCTCGACCCAGGCCGACGGGTGAACGTGGCCAGGTGGCGGCCCGTCCGAGAGCAAGTACAGTGGGTCACACGCTGACCTCCCGGGGTGAACTGGTCAACCCACACGTCCTGGAGGTCCGCTCCACTCACCAAGCTCGTAGAGAACGAGGGGAGGTGGAGTCCTGACAGTAAGCCCGACGGGGCCGCAGGACACGGTAGAACCGTGGAGGAGTGCGCAAGGACTGGGCCCCCAGAGGGGTCAGCCAGGGAGACTGCAACCGGCCGACTGAGCGGCGTGAGTGTGGTGCTGTCACGAAAGAAGGAGCACGAAGCACCTGAGTCAAGTGTGAAGGTGTGCAAGGCCTCAGTAGGTGCAGTACCAGAGAGAGCAGACTCACCAGCACCTGGAGCAGCAGACTCACTAGCACCTGTAGCAGCAGACTCACTAGCACCTGGAGCAGCAGACTCACTAGCACCTAGAGCAGCAGCCTCAATGCCCGGGTCGGGCGGAACACACAGGTAACAGTCACCCTCAGCACTATCAGTCACAGCATACATGGCAGCAAGGATAGCATCGAAATCAAGATCAAAGATAGCAACATTCTGCTTAAGCAGATCACCCCAGCGAGGGAGCTCAGCGCCGTCAGGAAACTGGGCACGCCAGGCGTCAGTCAGGCGACCGAAGCAGCGCTGCGAAGTGTGCGGCAGTCCGCACGTCTCTCCACGGTGCCCGCCTGTGCGAAGAACGTAAGTGCAGGGACCAACACCCCCAGCCCTCCCACGCCCAGCGTACCACTCACGAAGCTGCTGGGGCGAAAGGGTCTCACGGGAACGCGGCTGCTGCTGGCGCTGGCTACCGCCAAAGCCTCCACGCTGTGCGGTACCACCTCGGCCAGCACCACCACCGCCTCCACCTCCACCGCCGCTGCCGCTGCCTCCACCACCTCCACTGCCGCCCCCACTCCCGCCACCACCCCAACTGCCACCGCCACCCCCTCCGCCCCCTCCACCGCCTCCACCGCCGCCCCCTCCGTCCCCTCCACCACCCTTGCCCCCCTTGCCCTTGCTGTTGCGGCGCCTCCCACTAGGAGCAGACGCAACTCCGACCTCCTCAGTGCCAACGAGGTCGACAGCAGCAGCAGAAGCAACAGAGGGGAGAAGGGGGACGGGGGAGCACCCCTCAAAGAAAGGGGCGCGAGGGTCGCCGCGAGAAGCACCTACAGCAACTATACTCTTCTCAGCTGCAGTAAGGCGCTCCTCAAGCAGGTCGACGGTGAGCTCAGTGGGGCAAAGGGAGAGAAAGTGGTCCCTGACTGAAGAGAGGGAGTCAGGGAGACGGGTGACTAGGTAGTAGAGAGTGATGTACATGGGGGGGGGGGTTCTTGGCACAGAACTCAGTGGGAAGCGCAGCGCGGTAGCGGGTGTCACTAGTGCGGAGGTGAGTAATGAGGTCAGCGACTGTGGCAAAGGCAGCAAGGTCAGGGAACAGGTACGGCAGCATGAGGCGGCTGAGAGCAGCAGTGGCAGGGGAGGAGTAGCGCGCGACAACAACGTCATACAGAGACTTTGCAGTCTTGTACTGGCCAAAGTGCGCGCGCTCAGCAGACGGCAGGTGACTACGAACAGCAAGACGAGCAACAGCGTCACGAGTAGTCCACTGCGAGCGAACCGTACTATCAGCAGTGGCAGCAGGTGCAAGAGAGACACCGGACGTGTGATCGAACAGGGAAACTCCGTCCTTGGAGTCGCACTGGAGAAAGAGCTGTAGGTCGTCTACCCAAACCTCGAAGTCAACAGCACGACCCTCAGCATCAAAGGTAAGAACAGTAGGACTAGCCATAGTGGCAGAAGCAGGAGTAGCAGCAGTAGCAGCAGTAGCAGCAGAAGCAGCAGGGGCAGGGCAGTGCGGCTCAGTAGGGCGGCGCGGCTCGGTAGGGCGGCGCGGCTAGACTGGGCGGCGC